TTCAGTTGACCCTTGAAGGTTTGAACTGCATGAATCCACTTATATGTGGATTTTTTTGATATGGTACTATAAATGTTATTTTCTCTTAGGATTTTCTTAATAATATCTTCCTTTCTCTAGCTTACTTTATTGTAAGAATAAAATAGAAAACACATATAAAAACTGTGTGTTAACTGTGTATGTTATTGGTAAGGCTTCTAGTTAACAATAGCCTATTAGTAGTTAAGTTTTCAGGGAGTCAAAAGTCACACACGGATTTTCAACTGCGTGGGGGTTGCCATCCTTAATCCCTATGTTGTTCAAGGGTTAATTATATTCTATTTCTGGGACCTAAAATGGACATTAAAAAAACCATCCCACTTGACTTCCTGTTCTATACATGCACACACACATTTTAGTATATGAAGAATGTGGTACTAGACCACTTCAGGACATGCATGCCAAGTAAGGTAGGACACACAATTCTGGTCCTTAAGAAGTTTATCATTGTGTAGAGAGCAAATAAGTAGAAAAGAAGCCAGAATTTGGCAAGAGAGATAAGACATAAGTAGGTTTGGAGGAGAAGACTGGAGAACAAAGACATACACACATTTGAGTTTTAAAAAGAGAAAATGGGGGCCACCTGGGTGGCTCAGTCTGGAAGCGTCTGACTCTTGATTTCAGCTCAGGTCACGATCTCAGCTCAGATTCCTGAGTTTGAGCCCTGCATCAGGCTTGAGGTTCTGTCTCCTTCTCTCTCTGTCCCTCTCCTGCTCTCTCACTCTCTCTCTTTCTCCCTCTCTGTCTCTGTCTCAAAAATGAATACAAATAAAATAAAATAGAGATAAAATAACAAAAAATAAAAAGAGACACTCGTTTTACATTAACAGATCATCAAAGTACTTTGAGAGCCTTTTTTTTCTTCTTGTCTTTTGTAATATTGATCTCTTACATATCCCAAATTGATAGTGCTAAGGCAAGGAGACTTCCACTATTCTTAGTACCTTATTTAATATTCACTAAACATAGTCATAATCAAGACTGTACAATAGAACTTTATATTGGCAAGCAAAGTAAAATTTGAATTACTGAAAATTCAGTATTCTGTTCTTTCTGAAAAGATTGGTGTTTTTCATGTGCACCTGTTATATTTCAATTTTTTTGAAGCTACTAATTCATGACATTCCATCAATTAATATTTGGTTATGAACAAGAACATTTTAGCATTAACTGTTATATAAAAGTTATATGAATTTGGTGAACAAAACTTACCATGTTAAACTCAACATTCTCAACGTAAATCTATCCTATCTACTATTAAAAGACCCTGTTCCTCCCCTTTTGCATGTAGAACCTTATTTTTTATATTTCAAATTTGACCCACTGTTTTGTGTATGTTCAAATAATTTAATTTCAATATAAAAATTAAGCTTAATGATTCTTTGAGGAAACTAGAAAAATGTGATTATTCTGCTAGGTTTAAATTTATCTCTAATAGAACAGTGTAAGTAATGGGGCAGAATACTCTGGATTTTCCAAAATGGTACTTCTACTAAATATTTGGCTTAGTTGTGGCTTGATTTAAGGATCTAATATATAATTACCATACAAATAATGCAATTTTTCACATTTTTTCACAGGTGCTGTAGTATCAAAAATATTAAAATCAGGAGCGCCTGTGTGGCTCAGTCGGTTAGGCATCCAACTTGGGCTCAGGTCGTGATCTCATGGTTTGTGAGTTCAAGCCCCATGTTGGGTTCTGTGCTGACAGCTCAGAGCCTGGAGCCTGCTTCAGGTTCTGTGTCTCCCTCTCTCTCTGTCCCTCCTCTGCTCTCTCTCTTTATCCCTCTCTGTCTCAAAAATAAATAAACATTAAAAAGTTTTTTTAATATTAAAATCAAATTGAGTTTTGAGGTTTGTTAACATGTTCCTATGCAGCGTGGAATGTTTGGGTAATTTCCCATCCTAGACCATTCAGTTCCAGCGTAAGCAGATACTTTTGAGGGGACTTTGGGCGAGATATAGTAGTGAACCAACTCACAGGCTATGGAGCATCTTATAAAGTCAGAAATGGTAGGAGAAGTAGATGAATATGAGATTCTCACTAAGGCTGTATTTGGCAAATATTTTATTGAGCATATACCATTCTCCAGGCCACTAATGACTTACCAGGTCCTTCTCCTTAAGGAATTTCTTTTTATGTTGTTGAAGTAAATATTAAGTAAGTGAGAAAATAAATTGTAGTAAGCTTTGTGAAGAAAATAACCATGACAATAGTTGGTAACAACTATGTCACATATGAATCCCCGTAAGTGATGGATCAGTTTGGGGACTTAATTGCAGTGCTTCCTAAATTAGGATTTAAGGAATAAGGAGGAGTTTCCCTTCCTGTTTCAAAACAAAATTGTTTCTTTAACCACTTAACAAGATTAAACAGTTTATTTTTCACTAAATTTAATTTTAAAAAATGCATCTCTAAGAGAGGGACTTGGTACACAATTCAAGTACAATAGATTATTTGAGTTCTTTGTTGAGATAATTATAGCCCAGCAATTGAAAAACACAAGGAAATGCTAACCCATTCCTATACCCATTTATTCCTTCACTGGGGCCACACTATTTGGATCATCACAGCTGCACAGAATGGTGTGATATTTGGGAGGCTAAGTCATCACTCCTCATTTTTCTTTTTAATATCCTTTAGGTGAATTTGTTTGTTTGTTTGTTTGTTTGTTTGTTTGAGTGAGAGAGAAAGTGTGAGCAGGGGAGGGGCAGTGGGAGCAAGGGTGAGAGAATCCCAAGCAGGCTCTATGCTCCACACCAAGCCCAATGGGGGCTCAATCTCATGACCTGAGCCAAAATCAAGAGTCAGATGCTTAACCAGCTGAGCCACCCAGTTGCCCCAGGTGACTTTTTAAATCATCTAGTCAAGATGGGATTGTGACTGGGCATACACTAAGATTAGATTCTTTGGGGAAGAATTGACAAGTTTAAAATATTTAATCTCCCCATGCAGCAATACAGTATGTTTCAATTGATTCAAAATATTTCTTTTAAACTTGTATAAAGCACTATAGTTTTTTTTAAGTCTTGATTATTTCTTAAATATCCCTTAGTATTTTGTAATTTTTATTTCTTTGTGAATAGATTTGTTTTTCCTCATTGTATTTGAAAGGGTTATTTCTGGCACAAAGAAAGCTAACGCTCTTGTATTTTTATTTTAGCTGCCTTTCAGAATACTTATATTTGTCCTGATAATTTTAGGCTAATTTTCTTGCATCCTTTATTTTTTGTACATAGTGCTAGCATGCTGAGTGATTGAAAACCTTATGAAAAATAATAGATTAGCTTGTTAGGGAAGAAAAAAGAGTGAGATTCCAGTATGAAACATTTAGAACAAGTAATTAGTATGTAAACATTAACTTCAAGAATGATTCCCATACAGCAGTGGTTCTCAGGCTTGGCTCCCACTGGAATCACTTGCAGAGCTTTAGAAAATACCCATGGCTGTGCCCTTCCCCCAGATACTCTGATGTAATTCCTGAACATGGGGAAAGAAAGACTGTGCAGGTGATTTTAACAGGTCACCATATTTATGGAACCATATTTATGGATGATCTAAAATAAATTCATTGTCAAACAAAGATCTATTTCTTTCCTTCCCAATTCTTAACTTTGTGCTCTTACATATCGAACTTTTGATTTTAAGGAAATATCTTTTTTAAAAACACGTACTCATATTCTTAGTCTCGAAATCATTGATTCCCTTATTCAACAAGTACTTTCTGAGCAGTGTTATGTTCTTCCAGACATGCTGTTCAATATATAGGACTAGATAAAACATATTATCCTCTAACATGTAGGTTATCTGTTATCTGTAGGGTTAACATGTAAGATTTTTATCTTTTTGAGTATTGGCTTGAATTGGATGTTGGGTTTGTGAGAGAGGAGACCAGGATGGAACCTAAGCAGCTGGAAGGATATAGAGTTACCATTAACTAAGATGGAAAAGGTTCCAGAAGGAGCAGGTTTAAAAAGGAGGAATAGGAGCTCAGTTTGGATCATGTAAAACTTGAAATACCTATTAAAGTCCAAGAGGAAAAGTTAAGTAGGCAGGTAAGTATGCGTCCATGTATGTGGGGGGGGGGGGGCAGGGAAGGAGGGAAGACTGAGCTGCAGAAATAAATTAGTGATATTTAAAGCCATGAGGCTAGATGAGCTCACCAAATGAATACCAGTAGATATAAAAATAAATACATTCAAGGGATGAGTCCTGGGGTTAACCGAAGCTTCAAGGTAGAATGCAAGCCAAGGGAAGAAAAATATTTGCAGCAGGAGGGAGTGACTGACCAACTGTATCAAATTCTGCTGCTAGGTCAAGTAAGATAAGAACTAAAAATTGACCATTGGACTTAGCAACCTTTAGGTTTGCTTTCTATTCCAAAATCATCTCAGTAACCATCTAGGCTTCCTTTCTGTGATTTCCCATCTCTCTTCCCCTCTGCCTTGCTTTTCAGTATGAGGAAGAGAGACAGTGTTCTTATGTTTGGGGGATTGTAGGAGGCATACATAGCTCCCTATATCTGGGAATGTGACTTCCTTTTCCTATACTTTTTCTCTCTGAAAAATCCCTCCCAGCTCATTTTGTTAGACTTATATTATGAATTAGAGACGTGGATTTATAAAAGCCAGTTCTTTGAAAGTTTATACTAGCAACTGCTTGAGAATAAAACCATGTCATAAATAGACATTTAAGTAGAAATTTACAATTCTACCAATTCCTTAGAAAATCACCCAACACAGGATGAGCAAGTGGGTGAGGTGGAGGGCAGGACCCAAGCATGATGAACACTGCAGGTGAGGACTTCTGGAACCATTTGGAATTTCGCTGCAATTCAACGCCATCTCACCTCCAGCGTCTCCTCAGAGTCCACTCCCCATGATAGCTCCCTTGAATGTATTTATTTTTTTATTTTTATTTTTTTAGGGCTAAGACATTTTGAAATGAGTCAGTCTCTTACCTCTCTGGATCTTCCCTGTGTCAGCTGGAATATTGAAATGAGGTCTGGAATTAGACAAGCTGTTTCCCATTTAAGAATCTATAACACGGGGCGCCTGGGTGGCGCAGT